TTGTTGACCATGCACATTATCTTCTTTTGTTAAGTGTCTGTCCAAATCTTTTTCACTGAGTTTCCTTTGAAACAACAAAACTCATCAACCTCAAGCTAGACTAATCAAAATAAAGAGAGGAGACACACAGTACCAGTATCTGTGATGTAAGAATCCTAGAGGCATGAAAAGAATTTTTAAAAACTACAAACTTTATGCTAATTAACCTGACAATCCTAGTTTACCCAACGTGAGTCAACAATCTAGGTGTGCAGGAATATCCCTCAAAAACACCTGAAATGTCTTAACTTTCAAAAACCTTCAAAACTCCTTAGACCCATGTTAATCCCGAAGTCGTCTGAAAACGAGGACTACATATCAATTCAGTTCAAAAAAATCTGTCAGTGCCTATAACGTGCGCTACCCACAAAGGACTCCTAGTGAAATCGTGGTCTTTCCTTATAGTCACATGATCTTCACTTGGTGTAGTGACTCCTGGGAAAACAAACAAGAATAAGAGACAACACAAGCTTTATTAAAGATCACAATGCTATCATTTATTAAAGAAAGGGAAGAAAGCAAAACAAAGGATTGTTTTGTGATGTTTTAGGAGGAAAACAGCTTAATTATCAGCAAAATTCTTCCTCTTTGAAATAAGCTAGTAAAAAGAGCACAATCTTTATTGCGTGAAACAGTCTCCAGGTAGGAAAAGTGGCACACATGAATACATTTTTTGGATGTAAGAAATTCAGTGATGCAATCAGCATTCAAAATCGTTGACTATCTGTACAATTACAAAAACTGACTCGCGTTTTCACAAAGTGTTTTCAAAGCTCATCACATGAGAACAGGCACCATGTTCTGAAGGCACAGAAATTCTCCCACGGGCTTCTGAACATCCTCACCCCCACTTCGCAATCAGATCTTACAAATGCAGCAAAAAATACGAGTTCAAGGGGGTTTTCTTGGGTGTGTTTCCCTTCCTTATTCAAAGTGGCTAAGTCAAGCAAATACGCCAAAGGCAAAATGAACACTTTTCATAGCAGAAAGACCGTAAGATTACATGGGAGCTCGGACTCCCCTTTAGGACATTACACGAAACGAGACCCATCCACCCCTAGGGGAAGACGTGCCACCTCCTTCCAGCTCGGAAGCCCGACAGGCAGCGACGGCTGCGCAGGCACAGTCCGCTCCGTCTCCGGGACACCCGGCAGGCGGCCCAGGGAACTCGTCGGTGACGTTTACTGGTACTGTCTCTCACACGTAGTGACAGTACTCTGCTGGGAATGTGTACACGGTATTGTCCATCGCAGCGGTTTTCAACCAGTGAGCCGCGAGCATTTCCACAACGTGCCACAGCTTCGCTGTCAGGGGCCCTGACCTCGCCTCCCCGAGACCGTCAAGCTACAGAACCACCACCGCCAACCCAACCCCAGCCGTCCGTGTGGACGAACCAGAATCACACCGACTTTTCTGTCAGATCGGCAAACACATTATGTTTGGGGTGCCCAGAATCCCAGTAACTCGTTTCCACACGCCGTGGGGTAAAAAGGTTGAGAGGCGCTGGTTTCGTCCAGGGCTCGGATCCGTCTTCTCTTCCCATGGCCCTGGCTCTCCGGTCCGTGGCTCGCTCCTCCCTGCCACAGGGCACCCCCTCTGCCAATTCCTTTACTCTGCTGGGAAGGGGGGACTTCATTCCATCCTTCACTTCAGGGCCCTGCTGCTCCCGCCGGCCCCCTGGGGCCCCTCTCACAGGCCCGAGGGAGATCTCGGTGGTGCGTGGGGTGCAGCGGGAACCCGAGCACCCAACAGCAACACGTCAGCGCCCCGGGTGGGGAGGGGTTCACCCGTGCATTGGGGGTAGCACCGGAAGGAGGCCAGAGGGAACTGAATGCCCTCTACCTTCAGTGACCTGGGATCAGACAAACCGCACAGCACGGTCCATCATGACTCAACTCAAAACTCCAGAGCCCAGAACTTCACGCAGGTGAATGTTCGTCAGAAGGTACTTTTGAGTCATGTGACTTAGCTCCCCACGTTCTAAAGGAGAATTTGCAAAAAACCCGGCCATCTAGATCTGAATTCTTCTGTTAACATCTTATCAAGAGGTACACAGATATGAATCTGTATTTTACTTCAGCTGTTTGTTCGCTTGGTAAAAAAACGTCACCTGCAAAGAAACCGCACCTCTCACAACATCAGAACACATCCTGGGTTTTACAATCAAAAGCGGCACCAAAAATCGAGCGAAGTGGCTTTAAGAACCTAAACGGTGATCTGCTGCTTCTGTTGATTTGCTGAGAAATAAAGCTTGAGCACAGGGTGCGAACTGTGTGATGCTGTCACCCTGGAGCCGACGCTAGTGAGCGTGGCTGAGGGGACAGAAGGGCTGTGCCCCGGGGGAAGGGCTCCCCAGCCACAGCGCTGCAGCCAGGCTCCTGAGGCAACGCCTGGCACCCCGTGGAGCTCCCCAAACCAGAAGCAGCCAGACCAGTGTCCCCACACCCCTCCCTTTAAGGCACAACTCGCTTCTTCATGGTTTCCCAATGGAAGTATCCAGACGTCATTTTATTCAGATGAGGGGCGTGGAGGGAGGCCAGGAGCTGGCAGCCGGCCCTGCAGTGTGGACGGTGAGGCTGCCCCGCCCTCCCGCACAGCCCACGGGCCAGCCAGTCCAGGGAGGAGCCGTGGGCTGCACCCGAAACTCAGGAGCCCATTTCCCGCCTGCAGGTCCCTCAGTGGTTCCCTTCACGCCCCAGACGCATACCCTCTCCTTCGGCCAGCAGTGAACAGGGGAGCAGGAGGCACTGCCAGCCCTGGGGTCTACAACCCCAGTTCTCCTCTCCCTGCCTCTCCCGCCGGGTTGCTTCAAACTGCGCTGTTGCTTGGTAACAACGGTCAGCAGACTTGAGATGGGCCCTTCCTCCCGCAGCCCAGCAGACAGAACCAAGTCACAGGCGGACACAGAACAGGCGGCAGGAGAAAGCTGGATCCGGAAGGCCCTGGAAGGCAGGGTCATCCCCACGCTGCCCGGGGGTCCTGGCTGGAGGGGCTGAGCAAACGGGCCACAGACCATCAGATTCAGGGCCAAGCGGGAGCTTTTCTGCAAGAGCTGACGCCCCCTACTGGTGAGGTCTGGCCCAGACCCCCCTCCCCGAGGCTGCTCCTCTGAGCTATGGAGAGGAGACCACCAGCCCGCAGTGACCGCCTATCAGATGAGATCACGCATGGCAACGCCTACGGTGCCAAACAGGTACCACGCGGTCATGTTTTGTAGACAAACTAATGGCCAGAGCCATTCACCTGTCACCTTCAATGGTCACCAGTTATTTCTGGGATTAAATAACATTACCTACCACTGACTGGGGTGCCATTCACCTCTGCGGGGCCCTGTGCTAAGCCCATGACATCTCTCTCACCGACGTCCCGCAACACCCCGGCGGGAAGTACTCAGCCCTGTTATTTTCAACAGATGAGCAGAGTGGGGACCAGATGTTAAGTGCCTTGTCCAGCGTGACCCGTTTGTGACGGACGGAGCCACAGCTCACACCGGATGCTGGACCGCAAAGCCCACTATGCCGGACACACCGGCGCACCTTCCGAGGCAGCCGGGAGCCCCGGGCTCTCTCGGGGGCACCAGCGTGAGAAAGAACCCACAAAGCCCGCGGGTGCGTTTCCTTCCCGGTCCTGGCTGAAGGTTGGGGCCTCAGCTTAAGACAAGCCACCCTCCGCAGCCTCGAGGGGCTGGTAAGACGGGCACCCCGCTCGGCACCTCCAGCTCGGAAGCAGCAGCCGCCGGCCTGAGATCTCGGTCGCAGAGGGAGGGAGAGCCCAGCGACAGCGGCAGCCAGAAGACAGCCAGCGCTCTCGGGGGGGGGGGGGGGTGCAGCTCCCGGAGAAGGAGCAAGTGGCAGCTGAGCTGGTCAAGGACAGACAGGCAACCGCAAGAGACTGAAGTCGCAGGGTGACTGTGGAGGCCCCGCAAAGCCAGGACTGTGGCAGTCAAGATGGGACATTCTGGTGGCCAGGCACGGGGCTAAAAGGACACACAGACAACACAGGAGACCCCAGAGGTCCCGGATGCCTCCCCAAGCCAGAGTGACATAAGCTCAGGACCAGAAGCGTCACAGGCGTGGCTGATGGAACAGGGACCCAGGGACGGGAGCCACTCAGGAGCCACACCAGGCAACACGGGATCACAAGAGACGGAAGTGGGGGCACCGGGCTCAACGCTGCCTCCAGACGTGGCTCTGGGTAGACCTGGCAACCTCTCCGAGCCCCGAGGTCCTCCACTGCCTGCCAAAGGCTCCCGGAGGACCCAACACGATCGGGGGCACGAAGCACGTCTGCAGCGAGGCGTCAGGCTGCGCCGTGACCAGCCTGCAGCCCACGGTGCCGTGTCTTCGCCCAGCGTTTCAGCACGGGCTCGACGTGGGGACACGTGAAGGTCACGGGGCAGGTGGCCGACGTCCTGCCAGCCCCACGGCGGGGCTGTGCCTTCCCACCCGCTCTCCGCAGGCCCAGACTCCAGGAGAGAAGGGAAAATGAAAGCAGGAATTCTAAGCCATTAGGGAAAGGGTTCGGCAGAGAACTGTCAGCATTTCCCTCCCGCCGGCTCTTTCCAGGGGGAAAGGCCGCGCTATCTCCGCCGCTCTGATCTCTCTCGTTTCAGGAGGCTGTGAGTAAGGAAAGAGAAACACCTGAGAGAAAGAGCAGTGATGTTCCAAATCCATCCCACAGCCCGGTCGGAATCTGCAAGAGCCACGATTCAGACTCAGAAGCACCACCGGAAAGGGTCCTCTCTCCTCCCTCCCCAGCCAGGCTCCCCACGGCAGGCAGTGGTCAGGGGGGCAGTCCCTGGTCCCCAGACCCAGAGAACAAACGGGTCCACACTGCACGGCTGATGGTCTCCAAGCTGAGGGTCAAGTCTGCAAAGCCCTGATGGGCCCCCGAGGCTGCCCGACTGCTGCCCCCTGCCGTCTCCCATGGGGCCCGTCGCCGCCTGGCTCCCAAGGCTTATCTGCTGCTTAACGCGGTTTTTATTTATGAGAATTTGGGGACCACCACCCGGAGAGAAAGGGGTGATGAGGAAGAATCCTTCAGAATTACAGCACCCACCCCTCCTACTGTGCTACAGACATTTGGGACTGGGGACACAGGGTTGCCTCCTAAAGCCACCCACAAACGTCCGGGTGACACAAACCCGCTGCCGAAAGAGGAAAGGCACATGTCTTTGAGCAAGGGAGTCCGAAGGCATTTACAGAAGTGTCCGCCGGCTTCGTCCACAGCGTCTCCCAACGCTCCGCGAAACCGGTTACGCAAGGCACGCGGAGAAACACTTCTTCACGGCGTCCCTAGGAGGAACGGCACAGAGGTCGATGGGAGACCGGCACCCCGGGCTCCTGCAGCCGGCAAGGTGCTCGTGGGGGTTTCCTGGCACCCAGACACGGCAGAGCACCCAGACCGCACGGTCGGACCGGCTGGGCAGGTCACTGTCTTGTTTGGGTGTCAAATGTCTCGTCCTACAAAGGGATGTCCCCACTCGCCCTCCAGAGCTGGGGTGGGACTGTGAGCACCGTGAACAGGCTCAGTACTAAATGACAGTATGCTCAACGGGAGACAGGGAGAAAGCAGAGACCACCAGAATCTGAGCGACGCGTCAGGACGGTGCACTTCCCAGTGGCCAGCATCAGGACTCCCGGTGCATTAAGTGAGACAACCCCTGGGGAGCCCTTCCCGCTAAGCGAGCAGGTGCATGCCCAGGGACGCCTGCCCAGAGCTCCCTAGCACAGGGACCTCGCTGCGTGCCCCTGGGAAGTCAGCGGGGGGCGGGCTCCATACACTCCGCTCCCCCCAGCCTGGGGACCAGGGCTCACCCAGCTCCGCGCCGGTCCCAGCTGCTCTAGGGCCCCGGCGCAGGGCGCCACAGGGAGGGAGCGTCCTCCCAGGAGCACACTCCGTGCTAACATCGAGATAATTCTAGAACAGCGTTTCCTAAGCTATGCTCTGTCTCGGGGTCCCAGGAGGTGCTCCGTGGGAGAAAGGTTTCATGGCCGAAGGAGAGCCCTCCTGAAGCTCACTCCACGCATAACGTATCAGGGGCCCTGGACAGCTAGAGCCCTTCCCAAAGCCGGCCGCTGCCCAGGGCCACCCTGCGAGCTAGGGAGTCCGGGCCCCGCTGCCGTTCCCTTCACAGGCTCCTCCCTCACGTTCCCGGTCAGCGAGATGCTGCAGGACAGGCGTGAGCTCGGACCTGCACCCGGCCCGCGCCATGAGTGGCACCGCCTCGGAGGAGGTCTCCGCGGACCTGCCAGGCACAGGATGGCGGTGTGCACACATTACACACCCCAGCAGGATGCTCAGGCCCGGGTCAGTGCCCCCCACTGGTTATAGACGGGGGCAGCCTTGGCTCACTAACCTATAGATACGTGTAGAACATCTATTTGTCTCAAAGGGTCTTAGTGAACATAAATAACACGCAATCCTGAAAGCACCCCTACTAGCAGGCCCTTGGCAACCGCCCCCCCCAAACAACAGGTATTAAGTCCTAACAGTCAGTCTTACCTTGCGAAAGGTATGTAGGAAAGGCTGTACCTGAAACACACAGAAGAGCAAATTAAATGAAGGGAGCAGATGATTCTTTCTATCACAGCAAACATCTTTTTTTTGTCTTTATCGAATTTTTTTAAGAGAGAGAGGAAGGGGAGATAGAAACATGGATGTGAGGGAGAAACATCAATCAGCTGCCCCCTGCTGGAGATCGAACCCGCAACCCGGGCACGTGCCCTGACCGGGAATCGAACTCAGACCTCTCAGTCCACGGGACGACAGTCAGTCCACTGAGACACCCCGCCCTCTTTGACATTGGACCAGTCGGAAAGGGCCACGAACCCACAGCTCCGTCCATGGTTTCAAGTCACCGTGTAGCCGGTAACCCTCTCACTACACCTGGCCCCCGGGTCACAGTCCCCTGGCCTGGCCAACGGGCCCCCAGCGTCCATGCTGATCCTGCCACCCACAGCCCCGCGGATCCCAGCCACCGCTCTCGTCCCCGGCTGACCACTCGCTCCTTGTCCTTCCGTCACTGGGGCATCCCACCCCAAATGTATTTTTCTTACTCCTCTCCTTTCTCTTTAATGTCTTTTTAACTCACATCCTCTTTTTACCAGCCCCTGTAGGACGTCATCCTCCTGGCCCTCACCCAAGGCCAGTGGTTCAGGAACATCAGTAACATCTCAGAATCGACCGCGGGCCCAGAGAAAATGAGGCGGAAGGCAGACGGCCTCCCAAGGCCGCTCACGCCCTCTGCTGGCAGTGGGTGGGGACACAGGCCTGCTCTGGGCGCAGCCCCCCTGCAGGCTGAGAATTCCTCCCCAGAGCAGGGTCCGCGCCCCCAGCCCTGCCGCAGTGGGGGAGGGTGCCACCTCCACTGCATGGGTCAGAGCGTGCGGGCAGGGCCTGGTAAGACGGTCACTCACCACGTCAGGGCCAGAGACTGCAGAACGCAGAAGATGAGGGCGAGGCCCTTGTTATGCCACTGAAAGAAAGCGACGCAGTCCGTGAACGCGGGCGACGGGCACGCACCCCGACACGATGACGGAAAGTGCAAATACAAACTTACCCAAAAGGCAGAGCACAGGGTGAGCGCAAAGCACAGCTAGGAGAGAAAGGAAACCGGTTAGCGCTGCGTGCGTGACGGCGTGGGAGAACCCGCGCAGGCACCGCGTCCTTGGCCCACCCACACCAGCACCTGCCCAGCGGCCAAAGGCGTCCTTCACGCCGACACGCCCCGCCCACCTGGGCACCCACGTCTGGCAGAAGAGTTAAAGTCGAAATGACATTAAACTGGCCAGTAGGATTTCCAGTAGATGGAAAAGAGAAGGATCTTCTTCTGCTTTCAAATTTTCCCAAAAAGCTCTGCCCAGCAAGCAAAGATCACGTCTCCGGGCCCCCACGCACCCATGCGTCCTTCTGTCTGAACACGCTAACGTGGGTTTCACGCGCCTCTGCCTCTGCACCCGCGAACACGTTCAGAGCGGAAAGAGCCAGCCAGGACGGTTAACATGAGACGCCGCTCTCACGGGGATCTGGGAGCCTGTCACCTAATACTTTCCCTGGGCCCTTTCTTAGAAAGTTCTTTCTACAACACTCCGGGCCACCTCCCTCCGCGACACGCCAAGGACAGGTGCTGGAGCGTCCGTCGTGCCGGAGGTCTCCACCTGCCGTCACAGTAACGTCACACGAAGTGCGTCCTTGTGTCCGGCACTGTGCCCAGTGCTGAAAGCACACGATGGACAGATGCGCACAGGGCCTTCGAGAGCGTGCCTGTCTGCACACTCAGAGGCACACAACCAAACTACACGTGAGAGCACGCTGTCCGAGCGCCACCTGTCCCCATCCTGATCCTCGTAACAGACGGAATGTGGCCGGGAAGAGATTTCGGCTTGTTGTTTGTTTTTGTTGCTGAAGGTTGGGATGGATTTGATGGGCACAGAGGACGGACAGGCATTCTGCGCTCACAGGACCGAGGCACTATCGTCACAGCAGGGAACAGGGCGACGGGCCATGAGGAAGACCGATGATAACGAACGTGATCCTGGTCACAGGACGATGAGAGAAAAGGAGCCCGCCCTATGAGACTGGAGCCCTCTAGAGGACGAACCCGGTGTTTCCAGGCTTTTCCTCCTGTTACGGCCTGTGTGGCTTCACCCATCACCAAGAGGGGGTCAGGGCTCACTTCCTACCCTATCACTTTGGCTAGTTTGACAAGCAGCGCCCTATGGAGGTGCTTTCTGGAACTGGCAGAACCTTAATACCAACAGAAACACCAGGTTGGGGGGAATTATCTGATGGAGCATGCTCCCTTCTGCCACAGTGGTTACGGGCATCGGGTACTAAGTCAAGGCGAAAGGGAAAAGGTTTGAGAAGAAGAAAATGCCACAGAGCAGAGATAAAACTCCCACCCAGAAGCCCAGCTGAGAAAGGCAGACCTTACCAGCACCATGATGGTTGCCACCAAACGCGTGGGCTCCACCATCCTCTGCAGCTGCTTCATCGGCCCCATGAGGAAGACAGTGCTGTGGGCAGACACGCACGAGCCATCAGACCAGGACAGCCACCCGGGCACTCTGCCTCCCCCCCAGGACGCCTGTGGCAATGATGGCGGTGATACGGCCGACGCTGGACCGGCTCTCACTCTGCACCAGGTGCTGTGCTCCGGGGCCTTGCGCACTGTCCTCATTCAGTCCCCAAGGAACACGTATCACACGTATGTTACAGATGAAACTGCAGCCCAGACGGGTGGGTTCCTGCCCAAGGCCACCGACTGGTCCAGGGCGGAGCCAGGCTGCAGGTACGTGTGGGTCTGGCTCTGGACCACACTCATCACCAGTGGGTGGGAAGGCCCCTCTCTGAAAGGTGCCACCTCGCTTCCTTCAGAACCTACCCATGGAAACCAACCAACCAAAAGGACTCAGGGAATTTAAAACAGAAAATCCACACCTTAGGGGCTTAGGCAGTTCATGTTACAAAGCATCTCACTTTCCTCCCTCCTCTCCAGTGCACACAGTCGATGACGGGAATATCGCCTCTGAACCGCCGGGTGGTTGCTGGGCGCCAGCCATCACACACGACTCCGGCTCACCCCTCAACAGCTCGGAGTCGGCTGTTATTACACGTATTGTAGAGATGAGGAAATGAAGCCCAGAAAGGTCGGCTGACTTAGCCAAGACCACAGAGCTGGGAGTTTAAGGAGCGGGCCTTCAAATCCACACCTCGAGGCTCCAAAGCTCCGAGACACCCCTGGGTGCCTTCCGTGTGGATGGCACCTGAGAGGTGACAGGTGAGAGAGAGCAGAGCCGCAGGCCAACCACACCAGGGCGGGGCCAGCCTTCCACCACTTCCTGACTCCTCACCGAAGCATCACCCGAGGGGCAGCCTGTCATGACCAGGGTTTAGTACAAGCCAACCGGCAGATAACATCAGCTGCTGAGTGTTCAAGAAAAACAACAACGTTCCAAGTATGTCCACCTCTCCCAGGGCCCTTTCGTTTCAACTGGAATTCAAGGCTGTGTCCTCGGGTCAAACATTCGACCTGAGTCAACATCGAACAAGAAGGAGTAGCCAAGGCTGGTCTCAGAAATTAAATGCAGCAAACATAACGAGCACATAAGATTCAAGGTGAAGCCAGACTCCTAGACCCGCCCTGGAAAGTTTCAGTCCGCCCCCTTGTTGACCTCCCTGGGCGACGCTGCACAGCTGGTACCAGTGGGATTTCTGTAAGTTCTTTTGGACTAAACAACAAGCCCATCTATTTGTCGTGCTCAGTCTAGACTCCCCATTATAGCCTACACTTTCTACCCAAAGCAGAGCCCCCAAAAGTTAGCCCGTGGGAGCCTCGGAGGCACCCACGGACCCGGGCGGGGGGGGGGGGGAGGACAGCAGCCTGGCTGTCATCAGCTTCACCAAACGGAACCTGAGGAGGTGGCCAGCGCCGGGCACTCAATCATTTGTTAACACTTCCAGCCAGACACAGAGCTGCTCTGGGGACAGTTAGGAACGAGTAAGTTAGGACAGATGCGTAGCCAAGTGGCTCACGGCCTTGGAACAAGGCAGCTCACAAAACGCTGTGCGCGGCGTCACACCATCATGTAAATACACGTGGGGCAGGCAGAGCCCGCGTGAAGCAGGAGGTCATTGATTCCGCAGGGGAGCAGGTGACCAGCAGGCGACTCAGAGAAGAGGTCACTTCTGAGCCAGGTCTGGCAGGTATCCACCAGACGGGGGTGCACGTGGGGCAGCTTTCCACGCGGAAAATGCGGCCTGAGCACCAAGATGTTTGGAAGAGGCAGGAGGCACGGCCTGGCTGGGTACACGGGGTGGGGGTGGGGAGCGTGACCAGTGGATCTCGAGGGCCTCGGACTCTCCCAGCAGAGGGAGCGGGAGCCACCGAGGAGCTCGGCAGGGCCGTAAGTGAGTGGCCAGTGGGGTGATGAAGGGACAGAGGACGGGCGGTGGACCCCTGCAGCAGTTCAGGAGAGTGACATGACCCAGCTCCGAGCAGCTCGCATGCCACCTGCTCCACGGAATCCCTCCCTGGCCCCAAGTCGGGTCAGACCAGGTCAGCTGCCCCTGGAGCCTCTCTCTCCACATCCCACTGTTACCGGTTTACGTCTGTCTGCCTGGCCAACCGGTGAGCCCCACTGTGGCAGGAACCAACCACACTGGTCTGAGTGCCTGGAGCCCAGCAAGGTATGATCAAGGCTCCTCATGTAAGGGACACGGAGGAAGGAGCCAGCAACACTGTCCACACTAAGCCTCAGTGAGCAACGATGGGCTCTGGGGACGGGGAGGAAAGATGACGGAGGTCAGGGCCGGCGGGCAGGAGTGGGGCCAGTGCCCCCTGGCTGGAGGCAGAGCCGGAGTTTTCAGCACACGGCGCAGTTGAAGCGTCCGAGTGAATGAGCTTGACCCGGGGTCCGGGCGCCCGCAGCACGAGGCTGGGCTGATGCTCTGCCCTCACAGCTGGTCTGACGTGGTCACACCCTGCACAGTAACAGCTCCTCCTGCGGGGAAACCGTGGCCTCGGCCTCCGGCAGCAGTGAGCCGGGACCATGCAGAGGGCTGTGCTGTGACCCTGACCCGCATCCTCCAATTACTCGGTGCCAGGCTCCCTCCCGGGCAAAATCGCAACAGTAACAAATTCCTGCTTCCTCCCGGGTATTTCACAGATACACTGGGCAGGGACAGGACATGGATGGGATGTATTTTGACTCCCTCTTTTCTCCCCAAATCCTTAGAACACTGAGGCACCCTTCTGCACCCCACCCTTCAGGCACAATCCACATCCAATTTCCCACCGAGTAACTGCTACAGTGAGATTAAAAACTGTTACCTCCCAATCGATGCGATGTTACCAAAGGTGTAAAACACTGCAAAGAGGTACAGGCCCTTTCTCGGCACCCAGAGCAGAAGAGTACCCTGGAAGACAAAGCAAAGGGCGTCTGCCGGAAGCACCCCTCCCAGGGCCACACAACCAGGGACACACAGAGAACCCAGTTCCCCACCCTCCTTACCTCCCGCTCCACCCACTCTCCTTACCCTGCATCTCGGTGAGGAGCACAGAGAACAGGAGGTAGGGAGGAGGGGAGGGGAGGGCAGGGCAAAGCCTGGGGGGCGGACCTTACCAGCAGCGAGAAGAGAATCCCGGTAACAAAGCACGCAACGAAGCCTTTGATCCTGGTACTCCAGCTTAACGAAGAGGCGTCGGCCACCTGCGATTGTAAGGACCAGGTTACACACGTCACCCAAGACCCACCGGGTTCCGAAGCAGAGAGTGAATGTGTCCTGAGGGAGGCAGGGGTGCGGACTCCTCCATGCGCGTAGCTACAAGAGCCCTCCCGGGTCACAGACCCCAGCTCCTTCTCCATCCGTGCGTCTCCTGTCCTGCAGCCAGTCAGAGGCTGGACACCTTCAAAAGTGGAGACTGCACAACCCATGTCACAAACTGGAAGGCAAGACAGCCGCCCCGGCAGGACCAGGCCCACACAGGAGAGGCATGAGGTCTGCCAGGCGGAGGCCCAGGAGATGGGAAAAGCCAGGGGATGGCACCCAGGCGGCTGTGTCCCCTGGGCATCGACTCCTACACCCACCAGCAGCCACAGCTGCTCCTGCCGCACCTCTGAGCCCTCGGGGGCCAAGACTCACCCTTCCCGGGACGCATCGAGTCCTTCTGTTGTTCTCAGGGCTAGTATCAGCCAAGTCACCAGATCCGAGGCAGAGCCTGGTTAATTCATTACCACCCTACCCATCCTGACTCTGCCACCAAGATTAATCCCCTCCCCAAAGCAAAGTTCAGAAGAGGCCAAGATTTCCAGAAAACCACTAAAACAGGAGCGGGTGAGTAGCTCCCAAGGGTTCTCTCCCCGCGTCAAAGACGACAGCCACATCGGTACCAGAGACCTTCCCAGTCTGTCCACCTGAGGAGTGGCCACGGCAGCTCCAAGCTGGGCACAGGCAGCTGCTGCGGAGCCCAAAGGCCTCGCCTGCCCAGCTAAGGCAGGGCGGCCAGGCCCGGGGTCTCTCCACCCAGGACCATGCGTGTGACCAGCACAGTGTCCACCCGGCAACGTGTTCCCGCAGGCTGGTGGAGGAAGACAGGTGGCAGCAGAGGCTGCCAGGGTCACTGGCCTGGCCACTCCCTCAGCCTTGAGTGTGCCCAACACGGGACCCTTTGCCAGCCTGTCTCCAAACTTCCTGTCAAAGTGAAGCTGAGAGAGGCCAGTGGCTCCCCAGGTGCGCCAGGCACTGTTCCAGGATGGCTGCATCTCCACCCGGGACAAAGGCAGTGAAGGCGGGTTACCATAAGGGGTTCTCCTCCTCCCCATGGAGTCACACGTACAGAAAGGGGGCTCAGGACACTGCAATAGCCCCACCGACACACACACACACACACAGGCCTGCGAGAACATGTGGCAACATACGACCCGGCACAAAAAGGCATGCTCAGAGCTGGTGACATGCAGTGGGAGCAGGGTGTTAGGACCAGAGACATGGGCCACCTGCTGCCACGACAGGAAAACCTCTCCTCCCAAATGAGCCAGGCGATGCTCTGCTGTCCGGCTGCACCGGCGCCCCGACAACCAGGTCAGACCCCCTCTGACAAACTGTTCAACCTCCCAGTAAGAACAGAGGACAATCAGACGCCGCGACGCCTCCTACTCGTGCGAGAACCAGAGAACCTACCCTGCCGAGGTGGAAAGAAACACCAGGCTGCGTGCAGGGGGAGAAGCAGGGTGCAGGACCGGATGAGCTGTCACCTGAGTGCTGTTTGGCACCAGCAGGGATATTTTAAAAGACTCCAGCCCCTGCAAATATCAAAATCCCTGGCAACAGGGCGCAGCCTGCTCTGTGCCTTCAGAAGGGAGGTGACATGTTGGCTCCACAGGACTCAGAAGCTGAATTCCACCCACACGTCACCCTGTTTCTCGACACGGGGAGATGCCTTTCCACTGCCGTCCTCCACGCTCTGCGGTGGCCAGTTCTTGGGCACAGACAGGAAGAGGCCGCCATCCCACTTCCTCTCACTGGACTCAGGGGAAACGAAACACTCCTTTCTGCCAGTTTACGAAAACAAACTCGGAGGCCGTGAACTGTCGCCCTGAGTTCACAGCTGTGGGAAGCTGCCACCTCCCGTTCAGGAAGTCAGGGTCGCTGCAACAGGACCTGGGAATAGTCGGTCTGCTCACACGCCGTCTGACGGGCAGACGTGCACAAAGGCCCCTTTGACTCGGGTGTGGACAGAAGAGGAGCTCTTGACAAAAGGAAGGACAGCTAAGAGCTGTCCGGGAAGCAGGGCAGGCGACGAGAAGCGGGTGAGAAAGGACACGGCCTCATTCCTGTGCTGTCCGGCCGGGGCCCCCTCAAACCTCCCGTGTATGTCCCTGCCATCCTCTGCAGGGACATAAAACCTATACTTTCAGGAAGAAGTGCACCGACACCAGCGGCGGACGGTGTAGTTATGAAGACGGAGCATCTGAAAGTTCATCGTGAGCGCCTGTGATGAGTCTTCACAATGATCACCTAGTCTCCTACGCTGCACACAGAACGAGTCATCTTTGTACAGGCTGCGTCAGAAGGAGCAGTTTGTAAAAGCATCTCTCCTAACGCCTGCCGACAGGGTGTGCTGGGACGGCAGGGACTGAGGCCGCCTGTCCCCACTTCAGACAGAACCCACGGCAGAATCGGCGGCTCCGCCAGCCCTAAAGCCCCGGGAAACGTGAGACACTCCAGCCAGGACGACACTGTAAAGGAGGCCTGACCGGACCGGTAAAAACAAAGCTGAAAATAACCCTGAACATGGATTCAGCCGGTTCTGAACTGTTTCCCAGGGGGCTGGACTCGGGACGTGCCATTTGCTGGTGACATAAACAGGAATCTCCACTCACACAAAGGAAACTGACAGCGGCATTTCAGAACAAGAGCGGCGCAGCCCCCCTTTTTAATCCGGGTTTGACACGTGCCTGAGTTTCCGTGGCTTTCAAGCCCTTGGCTGCGTCCAACACAGGAGTCACCACTTCAGGGGACAAGCCCAGCCTTCAGCTTGCACGCTGCCCTGCCTCCTCCACTCTCCAGGGTCCGTCCACTGCTTCCTGATTATTTCCTAAATACATAACGTTGGCACCGCCCCACGGTCAACACTCCTCCCCTCAGGAGTCTTCCGGAAGAGAAGATGCTTCGGCCTAGATGCCGGCCACTCAAAAAAGCTTCCTGCAGCCCTGGCCAGTTTGGCTCAGCGGTTAGAGCGTCGGTCTGCAGTCCAGAGAGACCCGGGTTCGGTTCCCGCTAAGGGCACGTACCTCGGTTGCAGTTTGTCCCCGGCCCTGGTTGGTCATGCGGGTGGCAGCCACTCGATGTGTCCCTTCACGTCGATGTTTCTCTCTCTCTTTCCCTTCCTCTCTCTCTCCCTCCCACTCTATCTGTACAAAAAAATGGAAAATATCCTCAGGTGAGGATAAAAAAAAAAAAAAAAGCTTGCTGCCAGCCCACGGGCACGGAGCTCCGCACAGGGGGCACCGCCAGCCCCCTGCGTTTTCTTCAGCCCCACCTGAGGTCGGAGGTTGGGGATGGGAGCCAGAAATCCGCAACAGAGAACTCGCAAAACTACTCCTGAGCCTTGACCGATTAGTGAAGGCAACAAATTGAAAAGAACTCACAGAGCTGTTGTGAAATGACCAAAAAAAAAGTTAAATCTCAATTCCTACAACACTGGACGCCTCTGTCACTTCAAGGCGAAGTCTGCCCTTCCGAGGTTTGGCAGAGGCCTGGAGGTACCAGCATTATAACACACAGTAGCATCAGCATCAGCAGGCGGAGGAGCGTGGGAGGAAAGCAGGGAGACACTGGCTAACCAGGGAGGAAAAACAGGTTCCGCGATTAAAGATGGGGAAACTGAGGCCCGTGAAATACACGCCAAGAAGTAAAGACATGTTCTTTTGTCGCCCAGAAGCAAAAACCAAAACCGAAGAGGCACCCAGGGGAGGAAATAGCCGCTCTGCGGGCTCTCGAACCCAGTGCCCGTGCCCAGCTCCCAGCTCCACCAGGACCTCGGCCAGAACACAGGCGGCCGGCCCCGGGGTCCGCGGAGCGCGCGCAGACAGCGTGGGCACAGCGATGCGGTCCCCGCCCTCGGGAGGCCAAGGCTTCGCGGGGCGGTGTACACGACACGCAGATGTGCACACAGCTGGGTGGGAGTGTCACGGCCACACCCCGGGCGCGAGTAGGCAGAGCCCCGACGACCCGGGAGGCGCCCAGCCTGGCCCGGCCCCAACGCCCCTGCCTGGGTCTCCGAGGCCCGAGGCCCGGGCCGACCCACCCCGGAGGCCGCGTCCCTTCCCCGGTTTCGCTCCAGCGCCGCCCTCCCTGCGCGGGGAGGGGGCGCAGGACCCGAGTAAACAGGCGCGACAGCGGGGGCGCAGCGCCGGGCCGCCCTGGGGCGCGGGGGGACGCGGGTCGGGAGAGGGCGGCGGGCTGGGAGGGGGCCGGGCGCAGAGCTGCTCTCCAGGAAACCCCGGAGGCCGGCTCCCTCGCAGCGCCAGCAGCCGCGCCCCGCGCCCCGCGAGCCTGCCCGGGCGGGCGGGGCGCACTCACCTCGGCCAGGCCGCCCCGGTCCTCGGTGTCCTGCCCGCTCAGCACCTTCTTCAGCTTGTCCATCCCGCCGGTCCGCGCCGCCGCAGCCCCCGGCCGCCGCCTGTTGCGCCGCTGGCCGAGGCTCTTCCGGGTGCGCGCCCCGCCCCGGGCCCGCCCGCTCAGGTGCCCGCCCACCTGGCCGCCGCCCGCGCAGGCGCCCCGAGCCCGCCCCACCTGCGCCCCGCCCGCCTCCACGAGCGCGAGCGGGTCGAGGGCGCGGGCACGGGGGAAGCGAGGGAGTTGAGGGCCCCCGGCCTCCCGCCTCGCTGGCCCCGCGCCGAGCGCCCACGTGCGGCCGCGCACGCGGGTGGGTGCGGGCTTGTGCGCGCGGTGCTCAGGCCGCACAGTCTGCTCCAAGGCCCGTGGGGCCACCTGCGGCGAGTTGTCTCCGACGAGTTGGTGGAAACGTTGAAAGAAAAACGCAAATCCCAAGGGAAATGCACCCGGAGTGTGATTTGGGCAGAATCCCGAGGGCCAGGTAGCACCGGGTGAGGGCAGGGGAAGGAGTGTTGGTGGTGGCCCCTTTCGCGGACCTCAGACTGGAGCGCAGGCTCCTCCCTGTCCCGAGCCGGGACGGGCCGCTGGGACGTCGCTGCGAAGCTAACTTCCAGATGAAGTCGCTCAGAAAAACAAATGCAGACATTTCCTGGAGCGGCCACTGGTCTCCCCCGCCGCCCTCACACGCGGACAGTCTGAACGGGCAGAATACGATACCACTGCCAACAAAAGGTTGCTGCCGCCGATCCAGTGCCAACAGGAGTCCCGGCTCTCAGGTGGGGTCGGAAAGAGCTGTGCTTCCTAAGAGGAGCAGCCTGGGTGCCCGTCTCCCCACTCTGGGTCCAATGTACTTCGCCTGGCAACCTCAGGTTTCTCATACGCTTTTTAAAAAGCTGTAATTCTGTAGCTTACCCAGACTTTTCTCCTTGTTAAATTAGGAATGTAATGAGGCTTTCTATATTCTCCTGAGAAGCAGAACATCTACTAAAAGTGATTTTGTTCTTCCCTAAAATGTGTCATTTCCATCATACACTTATTAAAATTTATCATTATTTTTACTTTGTGTCTCCCATTAGACTTTAACCCCAGGAAGACATAAAACTCTCTCTCTGCATTACTGCAATCCCTTCCGATCTATACAGGACACACAGTACTCAGAACTAAATGGAATGACACATACAACAGGGATTTACATTTTCAAGAACAGAAAGCATTAACCAGTACACAGAAATCACTGGCTGCCTGCAGTGTCCACAGGGCACTGAGGGCGCGAGGGGAGAGAACCCTAAAGCTGAACTGGGATTAGATTCGGAACATCTGCTAGATTTTCATTTACAATCTCTGGACATTCTGGCCACAATGTGGACCAAATTCAAAACATAAAGCACAAACGAGGAAGGTAGAGCAAATCTTTCTTTAATTAAGCTTCAAGAAAAACTGAAGTAAATGAAAAAGCAAAACAGATCAATAATTCCTTATTGTTTATTCTCATCTTACAAAAAGACACTTGGGACAAATGAATATAGTATGGATATGTCTTTGAGCAATGGGCAAATAAGGTTTTCTTGGAATTCTCCACAGGAATAAACTTATGAATTTTCACAAGTACATCATCCTATGCACCACTCACCTTCTATTACAAGAGGTCAATTCTTTTAATTTCCCACAGTTTTTAACAATGAAGCAAAATAAGCAATCTAAGACTGACTCAAGGACTAAGACATCTGAAACGAGTTTAAATATATATATATGATGTTGCCCATAAACTTCGACTAATGAATATTCTTACAAGTTTTTCATTTCTTATCATTTGTATGAACAAAGAGTCCGTTCTGTTCAGATCTGCATGGCAAATAAAACAGAAAGCTGAGTGTGTGATATACAGTGAACATGCCATATGTTTTTGTAAAGTCAACAAAATCTTGATTTCCTATATATTACAGATGATGCAACAGACAGCAAACAAATACCAAAAGCATTTGAGACCCAAGTTAGCTAATACAGTTAGCTAAACAATACACACAACAGTGTACCGGAGTTCAAGCAATGAATTAAGATCCAACTGCACTGTTCACTAAAATCTATCCTCAGGCTAATATCTGAGGAGCTTTGCTAATACTGTATTTATATATTCTTATTTAATGATCTATCCATCAAGTGGAAATATGTACAATAGTTATTTCAAACCAGGAAAAAAGGGGGTGATATTTTCCCCCTGCCCTATAAAAATTTAGTTTTAAAAACCCATTTCAAGGAATTCCTTGCTTGGCGCTTTATAACCACTTTCCACTCTATGAAGATCACTTAGAAAGGCAGAAATAATAGAAAATGTTTAAAGGGTCATCATCAAAATAAGCAATTGAATTTTAAATTTACTTCTGAGTACTTTCTGGATGGCCCAGGTCTTGTACTAATTACATTTTACTGGATCCCTGTAAGGTTAACAACATGAATCTTTAAGTCGAAAAACTGGCTTTGACATTTCAAAACAAGCCCCTCCTCCTCCACAGCCACCTCTCAAATATCTTAAGCAGAAAATTAATCTGGTTGTTCAGGGGCTGGTGTAATCCATGCTAAAACAATCCACATGAACTCCAGACTCTTTAGGGCCAATACAGCGCCCGCGCTCAGCGAACAGGCTCGCTCTGGGCCACGCGGGACGGACGTGAAATGTCAGTCCTTGAGGAGCACAGAAGAGACGGCACCGAGGTGGGGAGCCGGCGCGGCATCTGGCCATCAATGCAAACCGGGCTCATGTCTCCACCGGCACAATAGCTTAAGTTCTCAAAACAACTCTGTTATTTGGTTCTATGTCTAGCGCTTTCTTTACACTTCAAAAGCCAGTTTAAACTCAGGGGGAGATATATATTTATGTAATTTGGGGGGAAGATTATTAAAATATAAAGTCAGTTTCCTGAGAGGCAAGTCTCGACCCCAGCGCGTGAAGATGCTCGCAGGGCCCAGGCTGGGCGGCCAGTCCGTCAGGCGCACGACCAGCAAGCCCACGAGTCAGGTTTAACCCAGGGGCTTCAACTGGCCTCCTCACGGGAGAAGACAGTGCTTCTCAGTGGATACAGACCATGCCCACTGCTCGTGAGACACACACGCTGCTGTGACGGCCATGCTACGACATTCAGACATCCAAACGGAACTCCAGGAAACAGAATCTGGACTATGAACTTGAAGACAGACAGTACATCAGTTGAGTGGAATCTGAAACGATCTTTTTTTCCTATAAGGCTACAGAAAATCTGCATATAGACAAGGCAATTAATTTTCATAATAAAAATACCCCCGTCACATAGCCAGGGTCTCCGTCAGACTCCACGGTGAGCACGCGGTGCGTCACGTCTACTCCACGGGCGCATCTGCTTGCAAGTTGGCGGTGTTCTGGTCCATCCTCTCTGGGAACAGCAGCTTCTCACAGACCGCCTCCTTGATGGGTAGGTGCTGCGATATCTCATTGGGCTCCGTGAAGAGGGAGGGCGGGACTTGCTGGAAACATGTAAATCACATCGGCACAGATTCAGACACTGCACGGCCCCTCAGAAACGCTCCGAAGCCAAGTGCGTGGCACGAGGCACAGGGCAGCACATGCCTGGCGACAGCAGGGCTCTCGCGCTGGCCCCCGCGGTGACTGGGTGGCTGCCACCGCAGTCACAGGCATGCGGTATTCACAGTGCTCCCACAGACGTCCTGAGAACGTAATACCTTTTCTTCTAACTGAAATCTTTTTTAGTCCTCTTTTCATTTACTACCTCTTACCCCAGTCCCCTTTCCTGGGGCCACTGCCCCGAGAGAGCAGTAGCCTGCGCCTAGAGCCCAGCGCATCGGGTGACGTTTCTAACCCGCGTGCACTCTGGGCCCAGACAGAAGCAAGCACGAAGGGTGAGAAAAGAATGAAAGTCTGCAGGAAGGTATGATGCTTTAACACTGCTGACTGCTCACGAGCTAACTCGTGTTTTCGTGCCCAAACGTTGCTGACCGCACACGAGCTGCGCTTACTCAATGCATTCAAAATGTACTGCAGTTACGACAGACAAAATAAAACAAGACACAAATACTTCTACTTGAAGTAGCCAGGGAAGGGATATCCGCTGGTGCACATGAGTGCGGCTCAGGACCTAACACTTCTCCTGGTCCTTCTAACAGAGCTCCTCCCCCGGCTCCACCTTGTGGGCTTCCAGCGCAGCTAAAAGACCACGTTTTAGGAAAAACAGTCACTGGTATGAAAAAATCCAACCAGAAAGTGTAAAGTGTGTGTTTCAAAAGGAAAGGGCAGCGAAACCAGATATATTTGCAAAGCACGCTGCGTACCATCACACGTAGGTGATTGCTATGCAGTGTACCATACCAAAAAAATTACTAAAGTATATATGTATAAAATATAATATGTAGCAGGTATGTACGAAGTTTCATTTAACGTCACTACGTATAATAAAGTTTACTGAATTTAGATTGTTTCACCTTCACACTCAATTACCGAAACAGAGCCGGTGACGAGCTAACTTCTGCGTAAAATTGCCGGTCAGCATTAAGCGACGTGTCATAGAACCGTAATTACAGGAAGCCTTTTATAAGTCCCAGGAGAGCAAAAAACATAAAGACATTATGGCAAAACCAACAACCATGGTGCTGAATGCCCAACAGGGAAAGAGAGTGGGTGGGGAGCAGTCCCAGGGTGGCCAATGGAAAGAAATCCAGCTGGTGCCAGGCAACCAGGTGTGACTCAGGTAGTTCCCACCTGAGGGTCTCAGCTCTCCCGGAACAAAATGCGGACATCAGACTGGATGATGGCTACAGGACCTACCCATGTGAGCTGTCCTTGTAGCTGAGGAAAGCTCACGGTCATGGCGAGTTGGACTCATCCTCTCAAGCCCTTTAGGTGAGTGAATGGGTTTAGGGATGCAGATTTGGGTAGGTGGGTGGGATGCATATTTAAAATGAAACATAAAAAGTCAACATCTAAAAGCTGATATTAAAATACTGTACCATTAAATTAGCAATTCTGCTTTCTCGCGATGTATATTCTCGTAACATATAGGTCTTGTCAGCCTGTTTAAAGATAAAAAAGTTGCAACAAGTTCACTTACATTTATTTTATAATCTTTCTATTAAACAGAACTGCTTACATTTTATTGCAGGTTGAGAGAGTGGCATGAACCCTAATGAGACCATTATTTCTCCAGGGAGGTAACTGCTATTCACCTCCTGCCAAGAACTCTGAGTTGTTCATTCCAATCTCTCTAAACCACAGTAACTTCGGGTACATATATGTAAGCAGACTTAATAATCACCATGTCAGTGAAGCACAAGCAAAGGTTTCACCTTGAAATAAATATGTATGTAAGTGAGCTATGCAGGAGATTTTCACATTACTCGAGTTCAGAACCACAGCTTTTCCTTAAGCTGTACCATCATCTACCTACATAACTGAGGCTACTTCTATGTTCCAGAAAAAAATGGAAACTTTTATTCTCACCCTGGCCAGTGTGGCTCAACAGTTAAGGGTGTTGGCCCGCACACCAAAGAGTCACCGGTTCGATTCCAATCAAGGGCACATACCTGGGTTGCAGGTTCAATCCCCAACCCTGGTTGGGGGCACGTGCAAGAGACAACTAATTGATGTGTCTCTCTCACATCGATGTTTCTCGCCCCCCCCCCCTCCTCCCTCCCATTCTATCTAAAAATATAATGGAAAAAATATCCTTGGGTGAGGATTAAGAAAAAGAAAAAAATTATTCTCTCCCATTTTTACAAAAGTCTTGACAAATTGCTAATTTAAAGTCACTTTTTTTGTATTTTAATTTTTCCCATGTAAGAGGTTTTTTTTTGCCCTGGCCAGGTAGCTCAGTTGTTGGAGAGTTGTCCTGATATGCCAAGGTTGGGTGTTCAATCTCCAGTCAGGGCACATACAAGAATCAGCCAATAAATGCATAAATAAGTGGAACAGCAAATCAATGTTTCTTTCTTGCTCTCTCCCTCCCTCCCTCTCTCAAATCAACAAATTTTTTAAAAAATTTTAAGAGCTTTCATAAGTTGCATTTTAAAACAGCAATTTATTGTAAAATGTTTTTTGAGTCAATTTCAACAAAAGAAAATCGTAAGATTAAATTCCCATGGTTTCGATTTTTTATATCAATAAAGACAGATTAAGTGCTCACTGTAAAAAAAAATGTCCAATAACTAAGTATATAAAGTATAAATCATCAGCATCACAGCTTCTATAGGTAACTATCCTTAACATTTAGACATCTCTACACAAAATCTTTTTTTTTTTTTTTTGCTTTTTAAATTTTTTTTTTCTTTATTGATTTTAAGAGAGAGGAAAGGAGAGGGAGAGAATCAGAAACACCAGTGAGCGAGAACATCAATTGGCCGCCTCCTGCATGCTACCCACTGGGGACTTGGCCCACAACCTGGGCATGTACCCTGACTGGGAATCGAACCGGCGACCTCTTGGTGCACGGGTCGATGCTCAACCACTGAGCCACACCAGCCGGACTCTACAAAAAATCTTATATAATCTTATGTACATCTTCCCAAATCAGTTAAATATGACTTTCTGTCATTAATTTCAATGGCCATATATTTTTCTACTCTATGGATATAAAGGAAACAATTTAATCAATGCCCATTCAATAGGCAGTAAGCTTCCTCCTTCCCTCCCACTTGGATTATAAACAACACTGCCATGGACACCCATATACATTCAACTCTAGGCAACGGCCTTATTCGTATTTGTGGATTATTGTATATTAGAATCTTTTTTAGGGTGATTCCATAAAAACTCAATATGGTTGAGTGAAAACATAAGCATTTTTAAAATTTAGATTTCACTTTTTCTAAAGGAAAAAAGATAGCTTATTTTTAGTATTTTGTTACCACTTTTTAAAAAAAAAAAGGTCCCTCACAGCCACCACATTATTTCAAGGAAAAAAAAAACCCACCCCCAAGTGCAGGCTTTGGGAACTAGCCAATCCAGTCCTATCCTATGGGGCTCAGATCCCGGTTCTGCCACCTCTCAGCTGTAGGATGTGGATGAGACTAAAAGCCATTCAGTTTCCCTCCCTCGGCTGCGCCCGCTACAAGAGACCCTGGCAGCACCGACTCCCTCGGGCCGCTCGGAGAGGTGACCAGCGCTCCACTGCCCTAACTGACACTGGGGTCTCTTCTCCGGTACACTGCTCCACATGGTCACAAACCTGAAGTCACACGTTCACTCAGAGAGGACAGGCCCCTAGGAAGCTACTAGAAGAATGTTTATGGCACAGTGTAAGCCTCCTCCTCCTTTATAAAACACTTCGTTGTTATTGTTTGTAAACCCTGTTTGCCGACAATTCCTTCAGATGGAGCACAGAGCTTTCTCACTTAAGGAGAACTTCCTAAACAATGATGAGCACCGATTTCAGGGGGCCAGAAATTGGTGCTTCCAGTATCAGGACACTATGTCAACAATACATCAATATATAAACAAAGGTAAGAGTTAAGAGGCGGTTTTCCTAAACACAGATGAAGTACATACACAATTTTTTAGATGCACCAGACCCCCCAGTAGGGAGTGTCTTATACAAACTTCCAGCTCCTGGAACCTTAGGGAAAGAATTTGGGTTGTTTCAGTAACTGCAGTCAGCAGTGACCGTGAACATGCCATAGACTAGGAAGCATTATTTAATCTCAAGTTCTCACAGTGACACAGAAACAGCATGAACACGCCCAGTATCAACTAGTACACTCATCGGCCGAGAACAGCTACCTCGTGGTAAAGTCTCGTGTCATTCATTCTGATAAGTACTCCATCTATTCTCAAGAAAAAACGCAACAGCAGGAAAAAGCTGGAAGGCATTACTCTCTGAAAGAAAAAGAAAAAGTACATTAATATTTCAATGGAAATTGAATATTGTTACTGTGCGAAAAGAAAATGTTCACAGCGTCGGAAGGGGGCTGAGCTGGCACTGCACAGAGTCTGAGCCAGAGGCCCTTGGTCCTGGCACAAACTAGGCCCAAACCCTGGGCGTGTCCTAGTATTCAACAGCCTGGTTTCAGTTCCCTGCAACAGAAATATACTTTTTCCTCGGACACAAGATATTTATATTAAAAAGACAACACATACCTAAGTAATGAGAGAATTATAATCTTCACTTTAAATAACGGTAGTACTTACAGTAAATGGCAACACCAGTAATACCAAAATGAAAAACAACCAAGTTCTTTGTTGCTACTTATCTTTTATGCACTTTACATAAAACAAAGACAAGAGACCTTAGTGGAATGCTCCACTTCGGAGCAGCCGAAGCCTGTTCATCAGGTCAGAGACCGACCCCAACATTTCCCCTCTGTGGCACATCTGCAACTTCCTGTCTCCCATGTGTATCCAGGGAAGCCAGTTAGCAGAGAGTGAAAAGGTGGGTTCTGGTGATAAGAAGGGAGGGGTGTGGGGTCTTCAGGTCTTTAAAAACAGTATGTTTGACCTTTTACTGAACAAATACTTACTGCCTACTAAGTGTCAGATTCCTACTACGGCAGGCCTTGGAGTCCTATAAATGCAACGATACAATCCCAGTGTTGAAGAACGTTACCAAACAGGCGAACAGGCAGATGGAGGGGCTGCTGGCCAGGCACAGGTCCAGTGAGCCTCAGAGGAAGTGCCTGCGTCCACCGACAGCGGTCAGAGGAAGGGACCCCTGGGCTGACGTGGCAGGGGCTGGGGGTGGGCACTCAGAAGAACCGGGGCAGGACACAGGAAGCTGTATTCAGGGACCCGCCTGCAACTCCACAGAAGCACAGGGCCCATTCCCCAAGAATAAAGCAGTAACAAGATAACCCAGTAATGACAGTCGCTTCACTGCAGACAGAGTCCCCGACCACAGGCCAAGCTCTTTCCTGCCCTTGACCTGTCCATACCCTGGTCCCTGACCTGGAGTGTCTCCTGGCCAACGTCACCACCCTCCAGCCCTCAACAGAAACGTCACCTCTGCAGGTCCTTTCCTGCCATCGCACGTCATCGCACAGGTGTGCGCCTCATCCGTGCACGTGCCTGCTTGCTCAAAGCCTCCATTGTCTACCGGCGGAGAGCCGCTCGTCCGCAGGGCCCCTCTCGCCGAGGAAAGGAGCCAGCCAGCAGGTGGCCGTCAGCCAGGCCGAAGGAGAGGCTGGGCGCTCTCTTTGCTAGAGAAAGGCTGGGTCCCACAGCACTGGGGTGGGCTGAGCCCCGACAGACCGAGACTCCCAGTGACACGGAGCAGGAAGCACTGATATGAGAACTTGATCTGTCACGACCAGTCGATTTGAAAACACATCACCACCTGACAGAGTGCTGGTTAAAATGTAAGGACAAGGCTGATCTGTAGTCTTCTTCACACTCAGAATGAGTTATCAGCAGTGCCTGACGGCACAAGGAAGCTGGAGCATCTCTGCCCGGCACGGGGAGACCAGGAGCTGGAGGCCCGGCCTCTAGCCCCAGTCCCGCCCCAGTCCGTGACAGTGCAAGACCTTGGTTCCCTCCTCGGGCCTCTGGGAATCTGCGGCAGCGAGTGGTGAGCAGCCCACACCAGCATTTAGCATGAGGGACCAGAGATGGTCACTGTTCCGCAGTGCACAGGACCGTCCTGCACAACAAAGTCCAACCCTGTACCCCACAGAACTTCCACGTACCACACCTGGTATCCCTGCAGGATTTGTTCACTCAATTATTCATAAAGACAATGACCTTATAAATCAAGGAGAAACTGGACTTTTTACTTGGAATTTTACTATTTCACCACTTTGAAAAATACATCACCAGTGGCCATGCTGGACTGTGTTATGTGAGTCACTGACAGTTGGTGGCATTGCTGTTGGCCTCCATCTGTAACTGTCACCCCTACAGGGATTACCATGAAGTACAAGCATCTGTCTGCACTTACACACTGAATGCATCTCGTCTCACTCCAGCTCCATTTCCTTCTATTGTGCAATTAGAACACTATGTTGATTTAGTGGGAAGTGGTACATTATCTATCAATTTCATTTCGTAGTAGTAAAAGGGAGGGGTTACTTCAAGTATTTGGTTAAAAAAATGGAGCGACGCGTCTGATAAGACAGAGAACCAGTCACTTAGACTAGTCACGGCAGCACCCAGAGCTCCTCCCATAGAAGCGGACGTGAAGGCAAAACCCGCCAGGCCCTGCTCTGTGACACCTGACAGTCCTCAGGACTGCGCCTCTAACAAAGCGCCCTGCGTGGCAGGCCCTGCTCTGTGACACCTGACAGTCCTCAGGACTGCGCCTCTAACAAAGCGCCCTGCATGGCAGACCCTGCTCTGTGACACCTGACAGTCCTCAGGACTGCGCCTCTAACAAAGCGCCCTGCGTGGCAGGCCCTGCTCTGTGACACCTGACAGTCCTCAGGACTGCGCCTCTAACAAAGCGCCCTGCGTGGCAGGCCCTGCTGTGACACCTGACAGTCCTCAGGACCACGCCTCTAACAAAGCGCCCTGCGTGGCAGGCCCTGCTCTGTGACACCTGACAGTCCTCAGGACTGCGCCTCTAACAAAGCGCCCTGCGTGGCAGGCCCTGCTGTGACACCTGACAGTCCTCAGGACTGCGCCTCTAACAAAGCGCCCTGCATGGCAGGCCCTGCTGTGACACCTGACAGTCCTCAGGACCACGCCTCTAACAAAGCGCTCTGCGTGGCAGGCCCTGCTGTGACACCTGACAGTCCTCAGGACCACGCCTCTAACAAAGCGCCCTGCATGGCAGGCCCTGCTGTGACACCTGACAGTCCTCAGGACTGCGCCTCTAACAAAGCGCCCTGCGTGGCAGGCCCTGCTGTGACACCTGACAGTCCTCAGGACCACGCCTCTAACAAAGCGCTCTGCGTGGCAGGCCCTGCTGTGACACCTGACAGTCCTCAGGACCACGCCTCTAACAAAGCGCCCTGCGTGGCAGGCGCTGCGGAGTCCTCGGGGCCTCCTCCAGGAGAAGCTTCCTACTGGCAGCCTCCAGATGCCACATTCCTGGATGGTCGCCTGCACTCCTACTTCTCAGGCTAGGCTCTCTTCCACACAGGGAACTTCACTTGTCATACTCATCACCTCTAAGCCAGAAACCATGGCAATTAATTTATTTAGACCAATATCTGTACATGGTTAGAAACCAACCCGAAGACACTATTTGATGAAATCGGTCCAGGCATTCCCACCTCGTGAACTTACAGCAGGTGAGCAGAAAGCATCTCACGACAATGACAACGCTACTCTTCGGTGTGAGACGTATTGTTTACTCTGGGACACACTTATTACATGTATGCCCATACCTTCTCCAACACCTCATCCACACAACACGTGTGCTCCCCACATACCACCCCCCTGCACACATCAGAGACGTGCCCGCCCCCCTGCACACATCAGAGACGTGCCCGCCCCCCTGCACACATCGGAGACGTGCCCGCCCCCCTGCACACATCGGAGACGTGCCCGCCCCCCTGCACACATCGGAGACGTGCCCGCCCCCCTGCACACATCGGAGACGTGCCCGCCCCCCTGCACACATCGGAGACGTGCCCGCCCCCCTGCACACATCGGAGACGTGCCCGCCCCCCTGTACACATCGGAGACGTGCCCGCCCCCCTGCACACATCGGAGACGTGCCCGCCCCCCTGTACACATCAGAGACGTGCCCGCCCCCCTGCACACATCAGAGACGTGCCCGCCCCCCTGTACACATCAGAGACGTGCCCGCCCCCCTGCACACATCAGAGACGTGCCCGCCCCCCTGCACACATCGGAGACGTGCCCGCCCCCCTGCACACATCGGAGACGTGCCCGCCCCCCTGCACACATCAGAGATGTGCCCGCCCACTTGGATACAGTGCACATGCAGATATGCACACTCATAATGAACATTCAACACCGTCAGTTCTGCAGGAGGTGGACAAGTGGAAAGGCACGTGAATACATGAGTCGGAGTGAACAAATCTAAGTGACAAAAGATAAACTGGAGCAGTTACAGGTGACCAGGGAGCGGAGTGCTAAGAAGACAGTGATCTAATGCTAGAATAGATATACTGGTTCAAACAGCACTGTCGCTAATTAGTTACACAAACTTAGATAAACTAGTCTTTTGGGGCTTCATCTATAAAATATGGAGGCTAAATGATTCCCCAAAATTCATTACCATTCCAAAATCCTAGGATTCTACAGAAAAACTTGACTTTAAAACAAATTTACTGCTGCTTTTGATTTACTGTTTTCATTCTTAATTACTGTTTAAAACACAACACCCACCATCATTATGCTTCATGAATGACGTCTGATGCTGGGGCCCTTCCTCGACAGCCCTTATGATAAGTACTATAATGGGGGGGGGGGTTAAAATAAAGAACTTTTGGAGTATGGACAAGGGATGTTTAACCCTGCTCTGGGGGCCCCACAGTGGGTGACATCTTAGCTGGGTCTTAAAGGACAAGGCATTTAATATAAAGTTGCAGTTGACGTTTTTCTGGAAAAATGTTAAGAAAAAGGAAAAACATCTGTAACAAAAATAAATAAAATAAAATAAAAATAAGAAATAGTTAAAAAAAAAAAGAAAGAAAGAAAGAAAGAAACCCAAGTACAACCTAATAGTAAACAAATGCCAGGAACTCTTATTTTGAAGCATGCTCTGCCGACAGCACTGTTAATGGAAGTGGTCCGTCCTCCCCAAGGACTGGTGCTGGTCACGTCTGCTGCCAGACTGATGCTGGAGGCTGCAGTTAGTTCCGTGGGCACCGAGCCCTGGCACAGTCACCTCTTTAAAGAGATCCACCTTGCTATCTGGACAGCCTTTCCACATTGTTTTCGATTCAAAATGTGAAATTAGGTCCTAGTTTTCATTCAAACGGAACACTAGCAAACACAGCACGGAGTGGCCAGGCGGCCTTCTGAAATGCTTTGCTAAGGTCTTCACAGTGCGCTGGGATTCTGTGAACTGGATCATGGATATTAGTAAGATGTACTCTAGACCCAGATTAAACTTTACATGACATCGTGTTAAGATAGTATGATTCAAAGTGAGTCTTATATTTTCGACCAACGGTAGAAACAGAAGAAAGAAATTTTAACAAAAATCATAATACTCACAATTTTCACACTTAGGCTGGAAACTCCGTGATCATGAAGCTCATCCTCAAACAGGCAAACTTCTTCAAAGAACTTGATCTGCTCTCTGGCTTTCAGCTTCTCTGTGTCTATGTGGTCTGCTGTGGGCACAACCTGAAGGAGCGAGGTCAGAGGGGCACATCACAGTCTCTTTGAGGAGCTGCAGACAGAAACGTGGCTAGCGCGACTCCACAACCTCCCAGGGGCTTTACTTAAGTCAGCCCACATTCGTCACCATCATCATTGCACCAGGTTAGAACGAGTTCCCAAAATGTCCCCGTCCTAGCAATGATGCGGCAGATGGCCTCCCCAGTTTTCCGATCAGGACTGAGGAGACATCACCTGTGAAGCATTGCAAGGGTGTGATGAGCGCTCCTCCCCGTCAGACCCCAGGGATCTTTGTCTGTTCTCTGCTGCACCCAGGGCTCCTAAGATTACTGCCTGGCACATAGTAAGAGCTCAAGAATGAATGAATGGATACATGTTCCCTCAATGAATACATGTTGTCTTGGAAGCAGCACAGAAAACGAGTTCAAGCCTGTCACACAGGAGTGCAGCAGCCGGAGACGAGAGCTGAGTTCCTGCCATGGACTCCCAGCTGCCCGAGATCCCCATCTCCGCGGGGCAAGGAGCCCATCCACACGCGCCCTCCACACTGCTGCAGAAGCACCAACAGGTGATCAGGAGTCTCCAGTAACTACTTTTAATGTACATGGTTACAGTGAAATACATTTTGTGCTGTGGAACAGAATGTGATATTTGGAGTGACCTGAGCCAGACTCCCTCCTTTCAGTCACGCAATAAGATTTCAAGATGCAGTCAAGCTCCCCGTGGAGACCTGCACTTCCAAGTCCTGGCATTTGCCATGAGTGACCCCTCCTTCAGCAGGGCGTACACAGATGCAACCTGACACTCACCCAGAGCTGTCCGACCCCTGACCTCATATCAGAACTCTGCTGTGAGGTGGATATTTCTGTTTACCCAGTTTACTGATAAAACTGAGACTCAGATAAACAGATTAAGTAACCCCCTGAGGTCACGCCAGTTCGCACACAGTACAGGCAGGACAGAACCCTATCTGCCCGCATATCTGTTCAGCAGTCCGACTGGAAGCTACTGCTAGCAGGTTCTGTCTGAAGCACCTGACCTTACACGGGGACAGATGGCATCTGAACACCTCTGGACAGTGACCACATGAAGGCAGCTGGTGCTCCATTGCTCCCACCACACTCAACCCAAGCTGCTCCGCTATGGCCTGCCCTTTTTTCCTGCTGAGAATCGAGAGCAGAGTCCCTACCATGAAGTGCTGAGGCCTCCCACACAGGAATAAGTAGATGAAAGTAGTAACAAAAAATAAGCCATGACTAGAAAGTTCTAATGCCAAGACTGTCCAAGGCAACTGATGGCTCATAAATGCAAAAAATAACACTTACCTTTAACTTGAGTGATTCTCCAAGTAATGTTCCCTTATAGTCTGTTGTAAAGGTCCAATCGTACGGTTTAATAACCTCCTTGGAGTGTTCACCCTCCGTCCTACAAGACCAAAATGAGATTTAGTGATGCAGTACAGACCATCTATATTCATATATCACACCAAATCACATTCCACGAATAATGTCAAATATCCTACTAAATACTTATACTTGTCATAATTCACGAATGCAAGGTCTTTCTTTTTCCTGCACATTTATTATGATTTAACTTGTCACGTGTTGGTGTAGTCTTTCCAATTAGTCTGTACACTGCCTGAGGACGTTTTAAAGGCTCCTACTTCTTTGCACCCTCCAAGGTACCTAGTATATAACAGGTGTGAAGTCAGTAACTGCTGATTCGACTATCAAAGAAAATATATTTTTCTTAATTTCAAAGGTCCTCAAATTTTCAATGCAAATCACAAACATTTTTCTCGAAAAACAGGAACATGCAAGTAAGTGCACGGTGTGCGACCTCTTCGCTGAAGAACACAGTAAGCTCAGAGAAGGAAAGCCCACGTAGGTGAGCTCAAATGTTGCTCACTTAACTCGACAAGTATTCAAGAGGTGGGATGACTAATCTCCATTTTATAGGTGAGAAAAATTAATTTTAGAATAACCCAGCTGCCAAGTTTGATAACGAGGCTAGCCCCGCACTCTGGGGAAAGACGCATCGTGCCGCGTCTCTCGCCAGGCCTGCCTTCCCGGGCCGTGCTCACCTGCTCCCCTGCCACTCGTCCGCGCAGGCCACTTTCAGCACGCCTTGGTAGTTGTTCACACACCTCAAGGCATCGGTGGCATTGAACTCGATCCCAAAGCCGGAACCATGCTGGATTCTTAAAACGTTGTCTCCGAACATCATTTCAGGCAGAGACGGCATGTGCAATTCATCAGCTAACCTACGAATCACCAAGCCAGGGAGGGTTATTTGGTATCACTGCTGTTATGCGAGTTTCCTTTTCCTCCCTACACCACTGAGTGAATTAATTAACATGATATTTGTACAGTCTATGAATGCTTTCATCATCCATTCTATGTATATCTTTTTTGTAAATCAATGTGAGAGAGAAACATCGATCAGTTGCCTCCCGTATATGCCCCATCTGGAGGATTGAGCCTGCAACCTAGGTATGTGCCCCGACTGGGAATTGAACCCAAAACCTTGTGGTGTACAGGACAGTGCTCCAACCAACTGAGCTACCTGGCCAGGGCTATGTATATTTTTATGGCACTGTACTAGGTAGTGGGCTAAAAAAGACAGATAATACGCAAATAGAGAAATAAGCATATAACACAGTATCAGCTAGTGATAGTGGTATAAAAACTGCAGGTAAAGAGCAGGGGCCTATTTTAGGTAGGAGAACCAGCGATCGCTTCTGAGATAGTAGAATTCGAGCACCAAAGCGACCATATGAGCTGAGGAAGGTTCTGAGTTCAGGTAGCAACAGACGACAGAGCCAGGAAGGGGTACCACAGGCCTCTCCCCATCATGGCAGCCCGCTCGAGACCCCTGCACCTCATGGACAGCCTCAGTGGGGAAGGAAGCTATATCTGACATGCTATAAAGACAGGCCACAAGTCATTAACCCACAGATGTGTTTTGATGAGCCTAAGCAATGTCTGAGATAGTCACCAACAATTATTGAGAGTCACCAACAATTACTGAGAGACAGTTGCCAACAAAAATTGAGAGAAGTCTGAGAAATCTGGATTTCTGGTTTCTCTTTTTTGGAAAAAAAAGGAAGACCTTTCTGGCAGCACTAGAGCTAACAACCCACATGGCATGGGTGGGCGGGGCTGGGGAGAGGGTGCCCCTTAACTGGGGCACGGGTGGTTCACCAGTCCTCTCGGCCCTTCAGAAAGTGGAGTTGGTAGCCCCTGTTATAAAGTTCTTTTGAATGGAAGCTACTCACCTCTGGAAAATGTAGTTGTATGTATCCATTACCATGCCCATGACCCATCACCGCAGTCAAACCAGGATTTCAATTTAGGGATGTCTAAGTTCGGCTTCTCAACCAAAGGCAACCATCTAAGGGCTGGCAGGAACCCCTAAACGTTAGCCTGAGAACTCTGCCCAGTGGACTCACACTGAATTGAACCCTGGCCAGTGAGCATACTCCGCTGCCCTTCCCCTAAGCCTGATGGAGCTGGAGGCAGCACAGCCAAGGGGGGCAGGAGTGAGCAGAGCGGCGAGGCAGAGAGGAGCGAGAGCAGGAATGGTGAGCAGCAGGGAAGCAGAGAGGCAGAGGGGAGCGAGAGCAGGAGTGGTGAGCAGCAGGGAAGCAGAGAGGCAGAGGGGAGCGAGAGCAGGAGTGGTGAGCAGCAGAGAGGCAGAGAGGAGAGAGAGCAGGAGTGGTGAGCAGCAGGGAAGCAGAGAGGCAGAGGGGAGCGAGAGCAGGAGTGGTGAGCAGCAGGGAAGCAGAGAGGCAGAGGGGAGCGAGAGCAGGAGTGGTGAGCAGCAGAGAGGCAGAGAGGAGAGAGAGCAGGAGTGGTGAGCAGCAGAGAGGCAGAGAGGCAGAGAGGAGCGAGAGCAGGAGTGGTGAGCAGCAGAGAGGCAGAGAGGAGAGAGAGCAGGAGTGGTGAGCAGCAGAGAGGCAGAGAGGCAGAGGGGAGCGAGAGCAGGAGTGGTGAGCAGCAGAGAGGCAGAGAGGCAGAGGGGAGCGAGAGCAGGAGTGGTGAGCAGCAGAGAGGCAGAGAGGCAGAGAGGAGCGGAGGCAGGAGTGTGAGCAGCAGAGGGCAGAGAGGAGAGAGAGCAGGAGTGGTGAGCAGCAGAGAGGCAGAGAGGCAGAGAGGAGCGAGAGCAGGAGTGGTGAGCAGCAGAGAGGCAGAGAGGAGAGAGAGCAGGAGTGGTGAGCAGCAGAGAGGCAGAGAGGAGCGAGAGCAGGAGTGGTGAGCAGCAGAGAGGCAGAGAGGCAGAGAGGAGCGAGAGCAGGAGTGGTGAGCAGCAGAGAGGCAGAGAGGAGAGAGAGCAGGAGTGGTGAGCAGCAGAGAGGCAGAGAGGAGAGAGAGCAGGAGTGGTGAGCAGCAGAGAGGCAGAGAGGCAGAGAGGAGCGAGAGCAGGAGTGGTGAGCAGCAGGGAAGCAGAGAGGCAGAGGGGAGCGAGAGCAGGAGTGGTGAGCAGCAGAGAGGCAGAGAGGAGCGAGAGCAGGAATGGTGAGCAGCAGAGAGGCAGAGAGGCAGAGGGGAGCGAGAGCAGGAGTGGTGAGCAGCAGGGAAGCAGAGAGGCAGAGGGGAGAGAGAGCAGGAGTGGTGAGCAGCAGGGAAGCAGAGAGGCAGAGGGGAGCGAGAGCAGGAGTGGTGAGCAGCAGAGAGGCAGAGAGGCAGAGAGGAGCGAGAGCAGGAATGGTGAGCAGCAGAGAGGCAGAGAGGCAGAGGGGAGCGAGAGCAGGAGTGGTGAGCAGCAGGGAAGCAGAGAGGAGCGAGAGCAGGAATGGTGAGCAGCAGGGAAGCAGAGAGGCAGAGGGGAGAGAGAGCAGGAGTGGTGAGCAGCAGGGAAGCAGAGAGGCAGAGGGGAGAGAGAGCAGGAGTGGTGAGCAGCAGGGAAGCAGAGGGGAGCGAGAGCAGGAGTGGTGAGCAGCAGGGAAGCAGAGGGGAGCGAGAGCAGGAGTGGTGAGCAGCAGGGAAGCAGAGGGGAGCGAGAGCAGGAGTGGTGAGCAGCAGGGAAGCAGAGGGGAGCGAGAGCAGGAGTGGTGAGCAGCAGGGAAGCAGAGAGGCAGAGGGGAGCGAGAGCAGGAGTGGTGAGCAGCAGGGAAGCAGAGAGGCAGAGGGGAGAGAGAGCAGGAGTGGTGAGCAGCAGGGAAGCAGAGAGGCAGAGGGGAGAGAGAGCAGGAGTGGTGAGCAGCAGGGAAGCAGAGAAAGGAATGCAGGATGGAGAAATAACAGTAACAAGAGTAGAGACTTATAAAAAGTTGTTGTTGAGGCCACAAGAACTGCGTTCATTTGCTGAGATAATCCCGTGTTTAACTACTGCCTCGCACACTATTAAACTCCCATTCCTTAAGGCAACCTGGGTCTCCCTCCTGGTAACCTAACAGCAGAAGTTCCATGCAGTGAATTTTCCATTTGCCTTATGGATCCAATTTATTTTATTCATTTTGGAAAATGTTCAAAATGTATTATAGACTTTCTATGTTCTTAAACAGAAAATATAAAATATTATCCAGCCTTTTCTTGATTATCAGAGATCATCACATTTAATATTCTCGTAAGACAACATGCTCAAGTTCAACTGAGTGTGTACACCTGGTAGTCCTATGAAACATTCCAGTTCTATATGTAGAAGAACCGCCGTCACTACCTTGTACTGCTTCACATGTTCTCAATTCAGACTATCTTAAACACTGGCCAACCCAGAGTACCCTAAGACCATTTCCAATGCCAAGCTCTGCTCTTACCAAGTGGTTAATGCCATTCATAAGGGAGGAGAGACAAGACGCCTCTGTAGGATTAGATGCCTTATTCGTTAAAGAAAGTACCCTTAATCCAGTATTTCCCCTAATCCACCGGGGTAATGCAGCTCAGAAAAAGTAGGATGGGTGAGGGTAGGCCTTTCCTTTGTCCTAAGGAAGAAGAATTAAGAAGTATACTCTTGGCAGATCTGTTTAAGAAATAACAAATAGGCTGGCCGGTGTGGCTCAGTGGTTGAGCATCGACCCATGCACCAAGAGGTCACCAGTTTGATTCCTGGTCAGGCTTCATGCCCATTTGGGGGCCAAATCCCCAGTGGGGGACATGCAGGAGGCGGCCCATCAATGTTCTCTCTCATCGATGTTTCTATCTCCCTCTCCTTCTCCCTTCCTCTCTAAAATCAATAAAGAAAAAAAAAATTTTTTTTAAGAAATAACAAATAAAAAGATTGAAGATCTGGAGTTTGATTCCCTTTAAAACTTCCCGCGCGTCCAGCATCTCTGAGTGTGAGGTAAACCACACAGGAGGCACCGCTGGCAGGGACTGCTTCACACACGGCAGTGACACACGGTGCAGTATGTAACAGAGGAGGTTATGTCCAGAGGAAACCCAGACTGTGACTCAAGCTGTGGAGGGATAAAGGGAATTTTCTTTCCTTTCTTTTCTGCATTTTCTTTATTTTTCTTAGTGAATCTGCAAAAATGTTACCTTTTTAATTTATTTATTAATCTTTTTTAACTAGGCAGTTAAACATCCTTTCATGACTCCCCCTCCTCCCTCTGCCTAAATCTTAAAATGCCACTGCTCCCTCGGATGCCGTCTCTTCTGAAGACTTTCGGATGATTTTCACTCATTCCCAAGGCTCCAGGTATCAGGGATAAGGTGAGGGTTCCCAAACCTAAAGCCACCGACAAATCTTTTTTTAACTCCAAGGTAAACATATCCAAGGCCTAGGACATGTCCACTTTAGGACCCCCACACAACTCACATTTCAAGGAACTAAACTCACCCTGTACCTGACACCTGCCCCTGCTCCCGTTTTTCACCTCATCGGATGGCAAGATTTCCATGCTCTCCTCCGGCCAGAAATGCTGCCCTCACACAGATCCCTCCTTTCTTCCCCCTCCTGTCAACTGGGCCATCAAATCCAGGGACTTCACATTCTAAACCTGCTAGCTGGTCTCCAATCCATCCTCCCCATCACCTCCGGAGAAATCTTTCAGAGAAGCCGTTTTCATCAGTCTTCAGCTCAGGGCGCACATAAACTAGTTCCTAAAATTCTGCAGCACCCCAAAACATATATCTCCTGCCACTTTGACAGTAATAAAAAAAAAAAATAGGTATAATTTTGACTCAGTCACACCGCGGGGCTATCGTGCTGCCTGTGGGCATTGTTTCACTGGACGGTCTAGCAGTGGTTCTCAACCTTCCTGGTGCCGCGGCCCTTCAACACAGGTCCTCGGGTTGTGGTGACCCCAACCATAAAAATACTTTCGTGGCTACTTCATAACTGTAATTTTGCTCCTGTGATGTCTGAGGCCACCCCTGTGAAAGGGTCGCTGGACCCCCAAAGGGGTCGGGACCCACAGGCTGAGAACCGCTGGCGAAGGGGAAAAGCGGTCGGGGTCCCTGGGTGAGTCGGTTGAAAATCGCTGTTTCGGGGTTCCCATCACTCCGTCTATAGAATCGCCCCCGGTGGCGGCCGCATAAAATTCAAAACTCCTTGGCCGGTGGCTCCGTTTTCGGGTGACTTTATCTCCACCGCCCCGGGGCGCCTCTCCCTTCTCACGGCTGCTCCTCGGGTACCCCACCCTCCGTCCACACGGAAGCGGTTCTTCCGACAAATCGGGGCTCCCGCCCCCTGGCCCCCGCTTTCTCAAGCAAGATCGAGCTCTGCCATCAGAGCTGTCGGCCTCCTGTGACCCCGGCTTTACAGGAGCCCCCGCCCCACCCCGCCCGCCGGACCACGATGCGGTTCGTGCGCCCCAGCCTCCGGGGCGCCTCGGGGCCCTGCACGACCTCACCAGCCCGGGGAGGCACCGCTCGGAACAGCCACCCACGCGCCACCACGACCGTCCGCACGGAGACCGCATCGGGCCCCGGGGGCAGCCCCGGCGCGCACCTGCCGCGCTCACACCGGCCCGCGTCCCGCCGGCTGCCCCGCGGCGGCACCTGGGCCAGGTGGCAGCCCTCCGACCAGCCCCGCGCACGCCAGCCCGGGTGACAGTTTCACGCAGGCGGCGCCTGGCGAACCCCAACCGAGGGACGGCCGTGGGGCTGCGACGCCCGCCGACACCGAGGCCGTCGTTCCGGGGCCCCGGCCTCGGGACTCGCCTCCGCCCCGGGAAAGGTGCGGGCTGCGCGGAGCCGCCCGGCCCGCGCCCCGACGCGGCCCCGACCCGGCCCGACGCGGCCCCGCAGCCTCACTTCTCCACGTCCGCCGACTTCATGATGTGGGTCTTGGTCGCCGTCAGCTTCCAGGGCCCGAAGGAGAAGTCCCGGTGGCTGCTCTGGAAGCCGTGGATCATCATGGCCGAGGCGGGGCGCGCGGAGCAGGCTGGAGCGGCGGCGGCAGCGGACGCCGATTCCCCGCCTCGCTGCGGCCCAGCCCCCGCGGCTTCCGAGCCGTTACCATGCCCCGCCCCGCCCGCCCGGCCGCACACCGCCCCTTCCGCCTGCGTCTCCGCCCCTCCGCCTTCTGCTTCCGGGGCCAGTCGCCAACGTGCGTGACCCACGTCGTACGTCACGACGCACCGGAAAGAGGGAGGAGGGGCAACAGGGGAGGGGCTGGGCTGCGGCCGCAAGGGGCGTGGCTCTAGACGCACCGCCCCCTGGCCTCGTTGGGTGACGTCAGCTCGGGGATTTCGCAGAACAGGTGATCTGGGGCGCGGTGGAAGGTAGGAAGGGCCAGACGCAGACGGGACGGACCCGCGGGATGGAGGCAGGGGTTGGGAGGACCCCAGAGACGCTTGGTGGGAGGAGGCCCAGAGAGACAGGTGGACCCCTCGGAGAACAGTGGGCAAGCACGACGCCCCTGCTCAGACGGGAAGCACACCCTGGAAGAGGAAAGGAGCTATCCAGGCTGAAGATCCAGCCACAGATCGGAAGACCAAGAGCAGGACTCCAGCCACAGAAAATTACTGTGGCGGCAGGGAATGGTGTCCAAGCATCCTGCCCAGAGGGAGGGAAGAGGGGTCCATTACTCAGGCCGAAGGCTGTCGTGGAGAAACAAGGGGAAAACTTAGTCCCTGAGCTGGGGGTGCTCTTTCCTTTATCTCGTGTGCATGGTTAGGTCAAGCCCCCCACCCCTACCCCAGCTTGTAGGGGGCCCTGGAAGAGCAGCTCAGTTGGTTAGAGCGTCCTCCCAATACACCAAGGTTTCAAGTTCAATGCCTGGTCAGGGCACATTCAGCAATGAACCAATGAAAGCATTAATAAGTGGAACAACAAATGGATGTTTTTCTCTCTCTTTCTCTCTCTCTCTCTCCCTTTCTCTCTCGAAAACCAATAAATTAAAAAAAGAAAAAAGATGCCCAGCCAGTGTGGCTCAGTGGCCTGAGTGACGTCCCATGGACTGAGAGGTCCCAGCTTGATTCCCAGTCAGAGCACATGCCCTGGTCGTGAGCTCTATCCCTGGTAGGGGGCTGCAGGAGGCAGCCTATGGATGGTTCTCTCTCACATCCATGTCTCTATCTCTCTCTCTCCCTTCCTCTCTCTAAAAATCAATAAAAACATATTTTTTAAAAAGAAGAAAGAAAACCTTGGGGAGTCTCTGTTCCATACAACCAAAGAGCTCATTGGAAACAAGGAGCTATTTTCAACATCTCCTACAGTTGCCCTGTCCACAACCCTTCATCCCCCAAATATACACATAAAAGATAGAAGGGAGGCCAGGTTCTGTGGAGGGGAGGGGAGAGAGAATAAGAGAATTCAGACTTCTGGGAATTTAAAAGATGGGGGAGGGGCATGCCAGGGACGAGACTATAAATATTTCAGCAGTGTAATGGGGTAGGGAGGGAGGGGGTAGAAGACCCATAGGATTTGAGGAGCTGAGAGAAGAGCAGAATTGATTGCATCCAAATTTATTTTTAAAAAAGAAACAGTGCCTACTCTCAACTTGTGGCATGGCTTGGAAATAAAAGCAACCCATTAGTAAAGGAGATAAAAGCCAGCCATTGCAAATTATCAGAGACTTTCAGAGAAATATATTAGCTGACTTAAGTTCCTGAACAAATATACTCTTTACAGTATTATACACTTCCCAAACATGTATTTTTACTCATTGGTATATTTTCTTAACAATATACATGGTGAAAAATCAATTCCAGATCAATTGATATCACTTTAACTCTTTCTTATTTAATAATGTAATCCATAGTATGGCTATTCTAGTTTATTCAACTTTCCTCTGTGAATGGGTGTTTACTTTGTTTATACTTTTTGCCACAACAGATAATTTTCCAAGAAACTTTCTTGCATATGTATATTCTGTATTGGTGTTTTTATTTCCATGGGATAGAGTCCCAGGAGTAGGATTTCTGGGTCAAAGGGCACAGATTTATTTTAATTTAATAGATATTTTCAGATTGCTTTTTCAAATGACTATATAAATACAGGGTGGGGCAAAGTAGATTTACAGTTGTTTGTGTGGGAAATAATACAATAAGTAATAAATACCAATGCAAGAATAAACTGTAAACCTACGTTTGCCCCAACCTGTGTCCACTTCCCAGCACTGGGTGAGGGTTCAGGGCTCTAGTGCCAAGTGCTAGTGTGAAGCCAGTCCACCTCCAGGAACATCCAGTTAGTAGGTGTTGGGAGGGACTCAGGAATCTGAATTTTTCTCTCCATGTAACTTGATAGGAAGCAGGATTTAGGAGTCACAGGTTGACCCTGAGGCAGGATTTACCAAGAGGGAGAAATAAGGGGCAGGGACATTTGAATGGACTCCTTTCTACAAATGGCCTCGAATGTAAACTTATCACATCATTGCCAAATAACATTATAACATTATAAGTAACTGAGACACCCCAACATGACTGAATAAAGAAAATATTAGTAATTCAACCTTAAATGTATGCCTCATTATCTATCCACCCCACTGGTAATATTTATCCTTCGATAAATTTTTGTTGTTAGCACAGTTTCATGATAGAACACTTCCATCTGTGATGGAACACTTTAAATTCAATTAAGTCTATAGCTTATGCATAACATATGGCTATTATTCAAACAGTAATTGGAACAATACTTTCAGCAGTATTATTTTCCTGTAAAAATTCTATTTTTTATATCAATCAAAATACTTCAATGTTCTAATTCTTCTGGGTAGAGAGACAAATTATTGCATTGTATTGGATAAAATGAAGTATTTATTTGCTCAGAGTAACTATTGAATATACTATATGTTTTATAATCTTGTGTTGGCATTTCTTCATTCTTGTCTTTCCTATTCTTCCCTCCCTCTCTCCTAATCTCTCCCAATCCCCTTTCCCTCCTGATCTCCTTCTCCGTCTCTCTCCTCGACTCCCTCCCTCTCTCCCCTGGCCCATGTCCCCTTCCTCTGCCCTCTCTCCAACCAGGTCCACCTCCCAGCCCCACCAGGTCAGCCTCTGGAACTGCTGCAGCCCCAGCACTGGCCACTAGGGGCCCTCTGCTCCCCTGGCCTGAGAGGAGAGAAAAAGTATTTTATCCAACTTTCTCAACAGAAATACTGTTAATTCTCATGGATATTTTCCAAAGAATATCCCCAAGTAAACCAAGGGAAAATAAGAAGAAATGAAGAAAAGGTGCTCCCAACAGCAAACAGTGGCCTCCAAGTTTAAGACGGCTGGAAGCACCCAGGGCCTCCCTCATGAAGCTCCCAGCGGGCTGACATTATTTCCTCCTGCGTCTTCAGCCCTGGGGGAGCTCAGGACATTCTGATGCCACTTGTCCCCGCGAGCGAGAGCGAGCGAGTCACAGCTCTGGCTTGTTCCCCTAACTCTGCCCTCAGCTGGGGTCATCTCTTTATTTGAGCCATTTGGGAACACATTCCTTTGGGACACACTGCAAATATTCTTTCTCGGTTTGTTTATTTACTTATTTATTTGGGACTTTGCTTAGGATGATTTTTCATGAAATTATGTTTTTAATTACATAGTCAAATTTATCTTTTCTACTATTATTACTTCTGGGTATGGCGTCTCGTTAGGAAAGTTTTCCTGCTTCCAGGTTATAAAAGAATTAATCTTTATTTTCTTCTAGAATTTATTTGGGTTTCATTTTTGACATTTAGATCTCTGACACATTTGGGATTTGCCTTTACACGAACTCTTAAATCACCCCCTGGGCACAACTTTCACTGGTTTGGGGTATGCTATTTTCTGGGAAGAGTCATCATAATGACTGACCATAACTGCTTATATTCCCATTCAGTACATTGCAGTTTAAGACAGATGCCAATAATAGTAATAATAATAAAATCTATGCTATTAGCTAACTTTAATTAACTAGAGCTTGCTCAATTCTAAGCATTTGACAAGCATTATGTCATTAGAATGGACTCCATAAATACTGTTAAAAAATACAAAATTCAACTGAGTGAATTTGAAGATCTAATTGGCTTTGTAAAGTGACTAGGGGACCAGGCAGCTACCAGAAGGGGGCTCAGAGGGGCTGTGCCCAGTGGAAGGTTTTTATAGGAAGAGGGTGGGACAAGGGAGCTTTAACAAAGGGAAAAAAAGGATTGTTTGGGGGCCAAGACGTCTTTTCTTTGGAGGAAGAGAATGGGGAACGATTTTATCATTCAGATGGCCTCTTTCTAAGGGGGACAGAGAGGGCCATGTGACGGATTGCCTTGCTGGTGGTTGGCCAGAGAATTCTAGACTGGGTGATTATGACTGTTTTTCTGGGAGAATGTGACAGAGTCCCCCCTAACTTGGTAAATCTGACACCATGAGTGACACTGATCATGGTGATAAGATTTTCCAAAATGATGAACAATTCCTGCTGAGGTTTGAACAAATCAAAGCACACTTTCCCTCCATTTACACAGTAATGTCATTCCTGGACAAGTTGGTTATATAACAAAACCATGCCGAAGAATTTCAGTTTTGGGAGTGATGTGTGAGTGGGATTGCTTTTAGTCTTGGGACTGCCCCAGGCAGTGTCCTTACCCCCAACCCACGAAATGCCGGGAATGTCCTCTAATCATTATGACAACCCCAAAGCACCGCTCAGTTTCCAATGTGTCATATTAAATGAGAAACACTGAGTTGGATGCTTTCTGTTCCAAATAACAGGAACAAATCCATACACACTTAACAGGCAAATATTTATCATCAGTCCAGGGTACAACTTCAGGAAAGGCTTCATCCAGGACCACACAGTTCGGCCAGCACCTAATTTCTCCTATTTCTCCCCTGCCCCTCTTTTCTGTACTCTGTTTCCTAAATGTTGGTTCTACCCAGTATTCTCAGCAAAATGTCCCTGAGGCTTCATTCTGACCCTGTCCCCGCTCCTGAACCAACCATGTAGCTGACAATCGGAGCCCACCCCTGGAACTGGGGGGAGGTCAGTGCTACGCAGTTTTTCCCAAAGGAAATCTGAAGGTGCGCCCCCTGCAGGAGAGGGATGGGTGCTGAGCAAACAGCAGCAGCCACATTTCTGTG